TTTTACTTAGCGTCTATCATACCACAATATTAAAATTACCTATTTCTTGTCAACTAGCCATCCCCTTACCAGTCGGCTTATTGAGGGCAGTTGTGTCCTAGTTTACCGCTGTACCTCAGGACTTAGTATAGTGCTGAATATAGGGGGCACTGAAAAATTCACCCATTTTTTAGATGAGTGAATGAACAAATGAGTGAGTGAGTAAATGAATGAATCAATCCATTATATGTCCTCCACCTGAGTGCTTTTCCTTTACCAAAGTAAAGACATACCCTTTCTTTACTAAATCCTATCAGTCCCTTAAGGGACTAGATTAAATTTTATCTCCGCCATGAATTCATTTCCCATTACCCATGTCCCTTCTCCAACAGCACTGTTAATTATAACAAACAGTATTTGAATTGTCTTCTTTTATTTTTTAATTATTTAGTATGGATATGATTTGTCTCCTCAGTCGTGGACTTCTTGAAGGAAGAAGTGGACTATACTTTATACTTTTCTTCATATAAGGTTTGGTGTAGGGTAGGGCTCAATGAATACTTGTGGATTTATAGGACTCACGTTTAGTCTAAAAGGTCTGAAAAAGTTATCATGGAAACCATCGCTAATATCATTAAACAATCACCAAAGCCTTGTCTCATCTCACTTCCTGCATGACCTCAGTCCCAACAGTTGACATTCGTTGATTCAAAAAACATTTGAGTTCCTACTTGGTGCAACATAACTTAACGCATAATTATACCATATCTGTATTATTCACGATTTTTTCATACATGTTAGTCTGCTCAATTTTATTGTGTTTTCCATAAAAGCAAGGTCACTTTTTGATTTTTGATTATGTCTGTAGCACTTAGCACTTATATATACATATATAATATATATTTGTCTAAAGATTGATTAGTGGGGCTATCATAAAATAGAATGCCATTGATGTAGCTCTCCATGTGATGCTTATTAAAAATTTAATCATATATTTTATGTAAGATTGTATTTCATATAGGAAATTTTTTAAATTGAAATATGCTTGACATAAAATATTATGTTAGTTTCAGGTGCACTTCATAGTTATTTAACATTTGTGTATATTATGAAATGAACTTGTTATTTGTTGTCTTTTTTATGATAGCCTTTCTAACAGTATGAGATGGTCACATTGTGGTTTTGCTTTGCATTTCCCTGGTGATTAGTGATGCATATATTATGAAGTGATCACCACAATAGTCTAGTAACCATCTGTCCCATATAAAGTTACTTCAGCATTATCGACCATATTCCGTATGCTGTATATTGCATCCCATAGCTAATTTATTTTATGCCTGGATGTTTGTGCCTCTTAATCTCCTTCACTTATTTCACCCAACCATCCTCATGACCTCTCCTCTGGCAACCATCGGTTTTTCCTCTGTGTCCTTGTGTCTATTTTTGTTTTATTGGCTTGTTTTGTTTTTTAGATTCCATATATAAGTGAGATTATATAGTATTTGTCCTTCTCCATCTGATTTATTTCACTTAGCATAATAGCCTCTAGGTCCATCCATGTTGTCCCAAATAACAAGATTTCATTTTTATGATGGCTGAGTAATATTCCATTGTATAAATACACATCTTCTTTATTCATTTTCTGTTGGTGGACACTTAGGTTGCTTCGATATCTTGGCTATTGAAAATAATGCTTCAGTGAACATTGGGGTACATATATCTTTTTGAGTCAGTATTTTTGTTTCATTTAGGTAAATACCCAGATGTAAAATTGCTGGATCATATGACAGTTCCGTTTTTAATTTTTTGAGGAACCTCCATAGTTTTTTCCGTAGTGGCTGTTCCAGTTTATATTCCTGCCAGTAGTGCATGAGCATTCCTTTTCTCCACATCCTCACCAACACTTGTTATTTGTTGTCTTTTTTACAATAGCCTTTCTAACAGTGTGAGATGGTCACTGTGGTTTTGATTTGCATTTCCCTGATGATTAGTGATGTTAGGCATCTTTTCATGTCTTTTGGCCATCTGTATATCTTCACTGGAAAAATACCTGTTCACATCCTGTATCCATTTTTTAATCAGTTGTTTTTGTGATGTTGAGTTGTGTGAGTTATTTATATGTTCTGGATATTAGCCTTTATCAGGTGTATCATTTGCAAATATCTTCTATTTGGTAAGCTGCCTTTTTATTTTGTTGATAGTTTCCTTCCCTGTGCGAAAGTTTTTTAGTTTGATGTAAGACACTCATTTGTCTTTGCTTTTGTTTCCCTTGCCTAAAGAGACAGATCCAAAAAAATACTACTGAGAATGATGTCAGTGAGCATACTATCTATGTTTTCTTCTAGGAGCTCTTTCATTTCAGGTCTTACATGTAAGTCTTTAGTCCATTTTGTGGGGTTTTTTGTGCATGATGTGAGAGAATAGTCCAATTTGATTCTTTTGTATGTAGCTTTCCAATTTCCCCAACACCATTTATTGAAGAGGCTGTCTTTTTCCCCTTGTATATTCTTGGTGCCTGTGTCATAGATTAATTGACGATGTAAGTGTGGATTATTTTCTGGGCTATGTTAGGTTTACAATTGTGTCTTCTTCTTGAATTGATCCCTTTATCATTATGTAATGTCTTTTGTCTCTGTTACAGTTTTTGTTTTAAAGTCTTTTTTGTCTGACATAAGTATTGCTAACTCATCTTTCTTTTTATTTCCATTTGCATAGAATACCTTTTTCCATTTGTAAAGAACACATTTTTCCATCCCCTAACTGTCAGTCTGTGTGTATCTTTAGATCTCAAGTGTGTCTGTTGGAGGCAGCATATGCTTGGGTCTTGTTTTTTATCCATTCAGCCACTCTGTGTCTTTTGAGTGGAGTGTTTAGGCATTTGTATTTAAAGTAATTGTTAATAAGTGTGTACTTGTTGCCATTTTGTTCATTGCTCTCTGTTCTTTCTTGTTGTTCTTTTGCTTTTTTCCTTGTGATTTGATGACCGTATTTATGATGATCTTTTAAGTTCAAATGCATTTTGACAACTCTACATTTTCACTCCCTCCTCATGTTTAATATTTTTGAAGTCTTATATCTCTTTGTTTTGTGTATTCCTTAGCTATTTATTATGGATGTAGATGATTTTACTACTTTAGTCTTTTAACCTTTCTACTAGCTTTGTAAGTGGTTGATCTACTACCTTTACAGTATGTTTTCCTTTGCCAATGAAATTTTCCCTTTCCTAATTTTCTTATTTCTAGTTGTGGCCTTTTCTTTCCAGTTAGGGAAGTCCCTGTAACATTTTCTGTAAAGCTGACTTAGTGGTGCTGAACTTCTTTAGCTTTTGCTAATCTGTAAAACACTTTCTCTCTCCTTCAAATCTGAGTGATAGCTTTGCTGGTAGAGTATTCTTGGTTGTAGGTTTTTCCCTTTCATCACTTCAAATATATCATGCAATTCCCTGCTGAACTGCAGAGCTTCTGCTGAGAAATCAGCTGACAGTATTGTGGAGTTCCCTTGTATGTATTTAGTTGCTTTCTCCTACTGCTTTTAAGATTATGTCTTAATCATTAATTTTTTCCATTTTAATTATAATGTGTCTTTATGTGGATCTCTTTGGGTCCATTTTGTTTAGGACTCTCTGTGCTTCCTGGACCTGGATGTCTGTTTTCTTCCCCAGGTTAGGGGAGTTTTCAGCTATTGTTTCCTCCAGTAAGTCTCCTGCTCCTTTCCTTCTCCCTTCTCCTTCTGGGACCCCTGTAATGTGGATGTTAGTATCCTTGATGTTGTCCCAGATGTCTCTTAACCTGTCTTCATTTTTTTAAATTATTTTTTTTCTTTTTTCTGTTCAGCTTGGGTAATTTCCCCTACTCTGTCTTCACTGATCTGTTCTTCTCTATCATCTAATCTACTTTTGATTCCTTCTAGTGTATTTTTTACTTCAGTTATTGTATTCTTCAGCTCTGTTTGGTTCTTCTTTGTCTTTTCTAACTGTGAAACTTCTCACTGTGTTCATCCATTCTTCTGCTGAGTTCATTGAGCATCTTTTTGATCATTACCTTGAACTCTTTATTTGATAGGTTGCTTATTGCCACTTCACCTAGCTCTTCTTCATAGGGAACATATACCTCTCCCATCTCATTTTGCCTACTTTTCTGTTTCTGTATCTTCATACTAGGTAGGTTGGTTATGATTCCTGATTTTGGAGAAGTGGCCTTATGTAGAAGATGTCCTATGGGGCCCAGCAGCACATTCCCCTCCGTTCACCAGAGCTATATGCTCTTGGAGTGCCCTGTGTGTGGGCTGGGGAGCCTGATGTAGGGCTCAAATCCCTTGCTCCTTGGGGAGGACCTCTGCAATTGTGACATTTCTGCACTTTGAGAGTTGCTGATCCAGGGATGTGGGTCCTGACTATGCCATGTCTCCATCCCTTCTCCCTGTCTCATTGTGGTTCCTTCTTTATATATTTAGTCATGGAAAAGCTTCTCTGCTAGTCTTCAGGTTGTTCTCACAGATATTTGCTCTATAAGTAGTTGTAATTTTGATGTGCCCCTGGGACAAGGCAAGTCCAGGATCTTCCTACTATGCCATCTTGGCCACACTCCCCTCATACGTAAAGTTGACTTTATAATTGCTCTCCATTTTTTATATGTGAAGAATTGGAATTGAGTTTGGTAATTGAAATAGTCAAGCCATTGCCCAAAGAGAACAATCTCAAGTGTCCGCTGAATAATAAATAAGGAGTCCAATATGAATCCTGGCTTTTTAAGCTTTTATGATCTATTATGTCACTTATTTAGCACCTACTAGCTTAAAGATTTTGTGAAGGAAACTCCTATCTGTTACGTGTTTAAATTCCATAATTAGTTAATTCTCCTTGAAATATTTGGTGTGAATAAGTAAACATAGAATTAAATAATTTGTGCTGAAAGTTTACCTCAGACAATAAGAAACATAATATTTACATCGTTATTTTTAGATCTTCTAAAATATACAGTGTTTGTATAATATTAAAATAACAATTACTTTTTCCTTTCTAGACAAGTGGACTTACCGATATAAAGGTAGGTCATTTATGAATATCAGAGCTTTGAGAATTTTTCTGCTTAATTAACTGTAATACTCCCTGAATATTTACACTAAAGGCAGAAAGGTTGAAAAATGACACCCACCCAGGAATAGGAACAGCAGCCCTGCGCTCAGTCCTTACCCATTGCATACCTGGAGCTGTGGCAACTCCCATTCTCCTCTGGAGAATTTAGTGATGGGACCAACCACCTGGTATGTAAGTTCTCCTGGGGTCTCAGTGAGATACTTAGAGTAGGAACAGAACTAGCAAGATGTTTTTTGCTTTGAAAAAGATGTTTTCCTTGGATTTGTGCAAAATCTTGACTATATGGAGAAAAGTGAGGGGTTTATCTTATTCTGCCCCTGGGTAACTAACAATGAATTAAGTTTATCACGATAGTTTTTTTGTGATTCCATATTTACTTAGACCTATATTTGTTAAATTTTCTTTCATTTAACGGAGGCGTCATAAAATTAGATTTAATCAGAACTCAGAAGTTATGGTAATTTTTAAGACTAATTTGCCTTTCTCTATCCATAAAGTTTGCTAAATAAAATAACGGCATAAAAATTAGTACCCTCATAAGCATCTAAAACATCCATTTGCATACTAAAAATTAATATATTAATCTTAAAACATGATCAAAACCATACCTTCTGTAGAAATAGAATATACATGAATTTAAGAGAAAAAGTGCACATGCAAAATACAGACAGTTTAGTAACTCATATGGCCTCAAGCCAGTGTGTCCAAGTAAACAGTCACCAGGAAGTTTTGCCATTTCAAGAAACACAAAGGATTAAAACTATGAAACCCTAGTAAGAGAGGGTATAGCTCAGTGGTAGAGCATGTGCTTAGCATGCACGGGGTCCTGGGTTCAGTCCCTAGTACCTCTGTCAAGAAAAAAAAAAAGTAAACCTAATTACCTCCCCCACAAATAAATAATAATAATATATTTTTTTAATTTTTAAATTTTTTTAAAAACTACAAAACCCTAAAATTTGGGGAGGGAAACAAGAAATTGAGATGATGACCCTGTAAAATAACCTATCAGCAATACAGAAGTAAAGTTCAATCAGTGCCTGTTGTCACAGGATAACCGTCTAGTGGAAGATACATTCCTGAAATCGCTAGAAAAGTATTTAAGAAAAACATGACATTAGAGAGCCCCAGAAATGTTATCAAGGAAAACGGAAAATGCTTTTAATACAAATAGTGTAAATGCATTACCTGTGTAATTCTGAGGTCAGTCTCACAACACTTATTTAATTATGGTACATTCAGAAAATTGTGGGCTTTTTAAAAAATTATTACTGTCATTCTTAATTACTTTAAACCAACACTAGACCAAAGAGTCACAGATGAAGTCTAATTTTATGGAAAAATTTTGAATAAAATTATAACAGAGCAGCAGACCATCAAGAATTATGTATTTTGACTAGTAGATATCTTTTTAGGAATAAAATTTTGAACCTTTTCCAAGATCTTTTTCAAACAGATCTGCTCATATGAATATTGTCCTTATGAGGGACAGATTTTGTAAGATCTGCCTCCTTTATATTTGTCACAATTCTCTACTTTTAGAATAAATAATGCTTTCTCCTTTAAAGCAGACTATAAACTACTTTTTTATGTGCACTAGTGTTATCTCAAATGAGCAAAGTTGAGACATAAACACAAGAACCTAATAAGCAGAGAAATACCTTCAATGGCCCTTCTTTCCCAGAGGTCACCTTAGTCAATAGATGTATACATCTATAACCCTTTCTGTATTGTGTTGAGGAAGTTTGCCCTCTTGGAGCTTTTTTTTTTTTTTTCATTCAAAAGTAAGACCTTTCCAAAGATTTATAAACTGCTATAATACATTAGGCAGTAAACAGAAAGTTATAATAAACAGACTTGGCCTTTGAAGCAAAAAATGAAACATAGGTAAACATTTGAATGCCTAATACATATATATTTCTATACTTATTTATCAATATTGATACTACTATAATAGTACATGAAGTGTTTTATTTTTCCCATTTTTTATTGAAATATATTTGATTTACAATGTTGTGTTAGTTTCTGGTGCAGCAGAGTAATTCAGCTATATATATACATATTCTTTTTTCATATTCTTTTCATTCATTACACATTGCTACAAGCCATTGATAATACACAAATAATTTTAAATGTGCAATTAGTCCAAATTTTCTGAATGACCTTTTGACCAGCAACCCATATGAAACGGCACTCAAAGCCTTAAATTTAGAAACTTCAAAATGAAAGCTCTAAGCCATAATCATCTATAGTCTTATGAGCATTTAAACATAGAAATTTGAAACATTAAAAAGATATTTTACTCATGTTGTACTTTCTGTGCTAAAATATTATCTTCTGAAAGCAGAGAACTATTATTTAATCAGGAAATTCAGATCATAGCACTATAAATGTGGGATCATTTAAAGCATTTTCATGAGTTTTCATGTGAGAATATATCCTGTTTTTAAAACTTTGTAAGAAGGAAACTTTAGACTCTCCCTCAGAAACTTCTGACAGCATTTAATTAAAACAGCATCAGAAATCTTTATTCTTGCTCTATACCTCTCATTTTGTGATTTAAATGTTTCTTATTCCTTTATGAAGATATTAAAATTGGGTTGCCCATACCAGATAGTAGAACTTTATCATGAAGCTACATTGTTCAAAACTGTGTGGTACTGGCACAGTCCCAACCATAAGATTGTTGGTATAGAACAGTCCAGAATCAGACCCCAGTCTATATAGATTTAATATATAATTTGTTGCATCACCCAACTGTGGGGAAGCAATATGTAATTTTCTGTAAAGACATGTATTATTTTAATCAGAAAAAAATTATTAAAATTGAAAGTTATGTTGATTCTGTTTCCATTATTAATCAACACTAGAAGGCATACCCTATAAACACAGAAACTCGTAAATCTAGCCAAGTTGTTCTAGATACAGAGAACAACGGTGCATGCAGCGAGCCTGTTCTGGTTGGAGCATGGGCAGTAGTGGAGGTGTCACTTTCATTGCGATGTGTTCAGTGGCAGCTGTCACAGCGTCTGTGTTGTGAGAGGGTGAGGGTGGGAGGGGCATTTAGGAGGTACACACTAGTAGAGCCACATCACTCGACTCAAATGAGATGGTTTTTTCCCCACATGTGTCCAAATGCACAGAAAATGTGTATCACTTGTAAGTAACAATTTTTTCAGTGATGGTTTATTTCATTCTCTAGAGTATGGACATCACTAACAGGGAACAGTCAAGGCATACATCTATTAACAAACTGGAATATGAGAATGAAAGGCTCCGAAGTGATCTTGCAAAACTTCATGCCAATGAAAAATCAGCATGGGCTAGTCAAAATACCTATGAAGGAACAGGAAGGTACGCCTATCAAAGCCAATGAAAATGGGAAAAAATGAAGACGGGTATGCTGACTCCATTACATAAGGACATAAATGTATTCACATTTAAGTGAAATTTATTTTAAACAATTCAAATTATAATTTTACGTACTTTCTCTTCAGTTTAAAATTTATTTTGTGGTGATAATTCAGTAGCCTAGATACACTGTTTTATATGAAATTCTGTGTGGTCAATAGCTTACAAAATATAACAGTGAAGTGGGTAGAGTGTTCAAATGAGTTTTCATCACTTCAAACCCTTCTTAGAACCTGATGTGGCACACGAAATATACAGATAAGTAATCTTATTTTTTATGACAAAATATAGGAAGATATCATGTCTGACTTAACTTCAAAAATATATACACTTTATATTGACACTCCTGCTGGGTGATTTCTGACCAGCTGTAGGTCATTTCATAGGAAAGAACCTATGGATGCATAGGAGAGGTTTTCTCTGAAAAGAAGCATGTGGAAAATCAGTATCTGCTGCCCACATTGTCCCCATGCTCGTTAAAATGTCTTAGTTCAGAATTTAAGTACATATAACAGCTAAAAAATCTGACTAATTTCTTCAACTTTAATAAAATATTTATGGAGCAGAACTGTCTCTGGAAGCCTTTCACCATTTTCCCAAACTTGGAAAATGCTCAGCCAAACAAACAAGTTTCTTTTCTATGGGGTTTCCCAGCGCCATTAATATGCTAATTACATTGTGAGTTTCCAAGAACAGGTATGATGTGCAGTATTCCCCAAACTTGTTTGATCAGATTTATTAACATTCTGTGGTTCTGAGAAGTGGTGAATTAATAGGTCCAGACCCAACTTCAATACGACTTTTGCTTAGAAGCTTATAATACTTAGCATGAAAAACTTATACACTGTTTTCATACTACATAATTAATAATTGCAACTTTGGGACATTAAGTTAACCTTTGTTTTCCCATCTGACAAACGGGGATAATAATTATAAGGTTTATGTGGGGATTATAGCAGAAAACATAGTTCCATATAAAATAAATAGTTCCCTAAATGTTAGCTGCCATTATGATACTATTATTACTATTACTAACAGTTGTTAACATTTATAATAATATTAATGCTTCTTCAACAACTCACAGTGCTTAAGAAGTATATTTCAGTGACTAGACAAATGGCTGAACCTGACATTTCCTCAAAACATAGTCCTGTGGGGAAGAAGTGATGCCAAGCTTGTCTTTGTAACTAAACGTACTCAGTTCTACAGGTGGATAAATCTGTAAATCCATGGAACATACTAAAAAATGCTCAGCATTCTTGTGGCTGTAGTACAGTTCCCTCCTGCTTTCAGCCCCCCAGCCCTGTGTGTGTTAGAAGAAAACACTCTAATCTGTTGTACAAAACAGCAAGCATTCAAAAGTGCTAAAGTAACAGCCCCCCTTCAGGTGGTTAAGGGAAGGAACGAGGGAAGACTGGCTGTCACCCCAGAAGAGCTCTGTTGGTGGGGTGCTGTGGCAGGGCGGTGGTGGCAGTGTGGGGAGGAAGAAAGAGGTCGCTGAGCCACGCCACGGGCCGGTCCGCTGGTGGACATGCCCATGCCAACTGGCCAGTGTCACCGAAAGTCTGTCCAGAGGGGTCTAATCTTGACTGGGGGGCACGAATATATTTTTTCATATAGAATGAGCCCTTTGCAAAGTGCTTCCCTACTCTGCAGATTCATTTCTCCGTGGGTCAGATCACCACCCCACGTGTATAGTTTTCCCATTGGAAGAAAAAAGCAGGCCCCTGGCGATGTTCAGAAGGGTCCTTATATATCCAGTCAGTCACTGTTGAGCACCTATTAGATGCAGAACATTGTTCCCTGTTCCTACTTGTTGGGAATAAATTTAAAGCCTCAGATGAAGGTACTAGGCATTGTTATCTAAACAAAAAGACAAGTCACTCTGCCTTTTACTATTTTTAAAGAGTATTTTCATTGTTTGGATTTCTCCCTTTTCTCTTCATCGGGGCAGTACGGAATGTGTTAAAAGTGCCTAACGAAAACAAGACCGTAGGGGCCACGGAAAGCAGCAGAAGAGGCAGAGCACTCAGCAAGAGGCTATCTTAATAAGCAGCTCAGGCGACTGTTCCTGCTGCAAAGGCTTGTGTTCTGCCAGTCGCATTTGTTGAAAGTTTCATTAAATTTGTTTTAATGGCTTGTCTGATTTCAGTGTTCTCCAGTGACCTGATTTTTAAAAGAAATAGCATTTCAAATGTTCTGAATAAATTATTACCATGTGAAACCCACTGTGGGGAAAGAGTTGTTGAGAGGCAAGGACACTGTGAGCTCACCAGTGGAGAACTGTGAAACATGAATCTATCCGTTATAGCAGCTGAAAAATGAAATATCCTTTCCCTCGCACACAGCACAGCTCAGTGAAGCCAAATAGTAAAAGCTATAGGAATTTATTAGGCATCAAATAATTGGAAAAATACATGCGTCATATTTACATATCAATGGCTAATGCAATATGGTCTTATTAAACTATTTTAGAAAAGAAAAAGCTTTTAGGTAAAGATATATGAAGGCAATGTTTTGCAAAATTTTGAAGTCTGCAGCCTAATTTTTAGCCACTTCTTGCTTTTAGCTGAGGAAGATTTGTATAATACATGATTAAAATAATCTTTTATCCACTTGGAAGTAACTCAGTTTTCGTTGTTTTTCACTCCTATTAGAAGTGATAAGAAAATTCTCATGCTCATCCACTTAAAATGTGAAGAATTTTAGGATATTCCAAAGGATTTGCTTTCCAATAAAAAAGTTATTTGGCACTTTTTTAAAAAATGGGATGTAATTGAATCTGGTGAGGATGTATTGAATGTTTTAAAAGCTTTTTAAAAGTTAGAGTTTTGATGTTTAAGGATAATTTTCACGCTAACTTGGAGTAGTGGTATCCAGAGCTATTAGTATATAACTAATTTTAATGGCAAATCGATTTTGTAATAAATGGAGTTTTATCTGTGCCTCATACTCAAAAGTGAAAATATAATTTTTAAAGTTATATCATGTACTGGAAAGATTTTAGCAATCACAAGTATTGATCATTAAAATTGCTTCAAATCTAGTCAATAAAGTTTCTAAAACTAAAAAGCCACAAAGTCAGATTTGTCATAACCACTCTACAGGATCCCATGTCAAGGAATGGGTAGTCATCCAGAAGCAAAAACTATATGGAGTAAATTTTTGTACCACGGTGTGGCTCCATTACAGAAAAGTGCAGCAGGAGGAGCGATCTAGGCCAGGAAGTAATGAGTGGTTCACAGAGCAAAGGAGCAGCATGTGGAGTGTTAGGAGGCGAGGCTGGAAGCAGGTGAATTGGCACAGTGTGTGACAGAATCCTGTTCCACGCTGAGGACGTTCTGCTACAGCCCAGGGAGGGCTATAAAACTGATGGAGGGCCAGGATTGGGTGTACATCAGACAGCTCTGTGAACTGTGCAGAGCTGACTCAAGTCTCAAGCTGACTCAAGTTGGGTTGAGTTCTGCTCCCCAACAAAGCAGCTGGGTCTTGCTCTCCTGGCAAAGTAGGCAGAAACTTCGGCTCAGGGCCTGTGGAAAAGGTAACTGGACAGACGAGCTTGTGAGAGGGCAGTAAAAGCCTTCTGAGAGAATGTTTAAGATAGGTTTTAAATTGATACACTTAGGATTTTTTGCAAAATGGTTTTATGAAGTATTTGAGAAGCTGTATTCTAGAAGAACTTGTCAGATATAAAGATGATTTAAAGCAAAAGTACTTTACTTCATAATGTAGTCTTTCCTTTCAATCTCTATATTTTATTGATCTTATAATAAAAAGAATGTCTGTATATAAATTTTAGTAATTAGGACCATAAAGCTGTATCTATACACCAAAGCAAAGCGGGTAATTGAGATGATTATTTTGATAATTTAGGACAAATATTACTTTCCCTGAAATCTCTGTATAATTGAGATTATAGAGAGATATATTTCTTGAACCACTTCTATAATTATATTATTTTATTCCACTGTGCTTTGCAATATATAGATGGTAGCCTCACTCAGATTAAAAGGTTCAGCTGAAGATTCTCTGCAGATGTACTCTACAATTGTCATAATTCTATTTGAACGGTGGGATGTTGCATTTTATTGTGCACATCATAAACCATGTTATTTCAGTTTAATTTGCTGTTCTGTTTCCATGGTAATTATGGTTTGGGAGAATGGATTTTAAAAAAAAAGATCTATTTCAAGATAAGCAAGAATGGAAAGCATGTTGTGTTTGTTTTTATGTACTGGTTTACAGATGCCTCACTTAACTTTTACTGCTATTTGTATGCGTAGCTTTGAAAATGTTTGCATAATAAGAAACAAGCCTGTATAGATAGATAGTCTTTGGGTAAGAATAGAGAAAAATAATGTAAATTTTTTTGAATTGTGTGAAATTAAAATATTAAGGCTTTGGAAATGGTTAATACTGGTAATAATTTGAATTATTAGTAAAAGTAAATAATTTTGAATGAGGGGATTTTTATGTTTTCATGATCTTAGATGGGTTTGATGAAATTTAAGCCCCACTGTCATGAATTAATGCTCAGAAAGATACTTATTTAGTCCCAAACAGCCCATACTGTTAGGACCTTTTTATGTAAAATTCTAGGGTAAGTTCATTTGTTTC